TCCAGATCATTTCTTTCTATTTTTAGTAGAGACGGGGTCTCACTCTTGCTCAGGCTGGTCTCGAACTCCTAACCTTGAGTGATCCGCCTGCCTCGGCCTCCCAGAGTGCTAGGATTACAGGCGTGAGCCACCGCTCCCGGCGATGTATATTAATTTTTAAAGAAATGTAAACACAAGCCTACTATTTTAGCCTCTATTTTTACCATAATACAAAGCTATTATTCTACTTATAGTCCACTTACTGGGTTCATCACAGCAAAAACATACCTTGTTTGTTTCCATTTTGCTATTGTTCTTTATGTTTTTATCTTCTAATATAGCTGAGGTTCTACTTGCTTGAGAATTACTTGAGGAGGTTATTAAATATGTATATTCTGAGGCTCCAGGAAGACCTACTGAAATGTAATTTCTGGGTATGGGGGCCTGGGAATTTTCATTGTAACGAGTTACCCAGACAATTCCTAAGGGAATTGATGACCGCTGCTCTCTAACCAGACTTTCAAACAGCAGCTCAACTTTTTTTCCTCCACGAAAACAATTACCCTTGCTTAGAAAGATCCTCCTCTGAACTCCTGTCTGTGCTTCTCATTGATTGTAGGTCTTGTGCAACTTTGTACCTACCTCTCTGCAATTGTATATATATCTCTGTTGTCAGCACTCAACTCTGCTACCATAGCACAAAAGCAGCCGTAGACAATACATAGATGAATGAGCTTGATTATGTTCCAATAAAACTTTATGCCCACCAGAATTTCAGTCCCAATTCCCACATGTCATAAAATACTATTACCTTTTTTCCTAACCATTTAACACATTAACTGCCATGTGCATTGCATTTAATTCACACTAGTTGTGAGCCAGAGCCTCATGAAGCATATGTAACTGACACGTCTCTTCACGTTGGAGCCACGTGAACTATTTCAAATTGCCTATAACTCATACACAAAAAACAACAAAATATAACAATTTTCATTAAATTAAAAAGGGTCGTTTGGTTTTTAAAGTTTTTATTCTATTTTCCTAATAAAACACTGTGGCCCTAAGGAAAAAAAATTTTTTTCTGGTGTGGCAGTCAATGTGTTAAAAATGGAATTCTTAGCTCACAAGCCATACAGAAGTAGGTGGCATGCTGAATTTGGCCCATGGGCCATACATAGTTCACCAGCTCCTACTCTAACCTATTACCCCAACACAGTATTGGTCAGTATACAGAAAATATATGAGTACTGAATAAATTAATTCAAACACTCACATGATTTTACATAGAGCATATATATTTACTTGTCTTTGTGATAATATGACCCTAGTATACTGGCTGGTTCATAAAAACATGCTCAATAAATATTCGTTGGGTCAATCTGCATCTTTCCTCTGGAGTTAGTACCAAGGTTACCAGTGTTTTCTATTTCTTTAAATAAACTGCTTTTTCTTTTTCCTGTGTGTTGGAATAGGAAGGCCCTAACAGTCTGATTAATGAAGAAGAGTTCTTTGATGCTGTTGAAGCTGCTCTTGACAGACAAGATAAAATAGAAGAACAGGTATATCTAATTGTTAAAAATTCTATGCTGAAATTCATTTTAACACTATAGACGTTTCTTGATGTATATTATTTTACATAAACTATAAAGAACTTGAAAATCATGAACTTAATAATCTAGAAAATTGACTGTGTCTATATTATGTCACAAATGCAGAAGAATCTTTGTCAGTTCCTTTATATATCAATTTTCAAGCAATAGAAAGAGGACCAATAATTGTGTAAAGGAAGTATGGATAATTAACATGAACTTAAAATGGAAATGTTCTGCCTGTTCCCCTTGAAGTATCCAACTTTAACCATTCTATTAATATCAAGCATATATTTAGTCTGAGTAGAGTCTCTTTGAATTTCTCTTTACCAGGCTCCAAAGGAAAATAACAAAAAACTTAAAATCGTTTTTCTTCTGTGTTCGTATCATTGTTTTTGTTAACTCCTTTATTGCCTTCATTACCTTCACCTTCACTGTCTCCTTCAGTGTCTTTACTTTGCTCAGTGTTTTCTCATCATCATTAAATTCACAGCAATTATACTCAGCTTCTGTAGAAATTGAAGGAAAGTATTGTTAAATCCATCGACTCTAGTTTCAAGATTAATTTGATACTTTGTCTTCTTTAATTTGCAGCAATGCAATTACTATATTTTACCACTAGATGGTACTTAAGGATGAATTTTATTATTTCCCTTCCTTTAGGCCATGCTACTTATGGTAGAAACTTAACCTTCTTTTGGGCAGTGTTAAGGTGGAAACTTAGTAGGTGTTCACGGTGGGTTGGAGAAAGAATTTTCACACAGTTTAGGATAGAAAGTACAAAGTTTATTTATTTCCCTGAGAAAGAAAGGGAGCGAGTGAAGGAGGGAGTGGCCACAGCACACAAAGAAAGGAGTGAAAATGCCGGGCAACTGAGAGAAGTTGCTTGGTGTTTTTATTTTTTATTTTTTTAACGTGAAATGAAGTTCATTGAGGAAGGATAAGATAAGTTCACAGAGCAAGAGCAAGATACATTTGTCATAGATGACAAATGGACCCCCCCGCCAAGTCGTAACAAGGGGAGCCTGTTGGTGTTTTTAAAGGGTAAAAATACCTTTTTTCCCCCCCTCTGCTTCAGCAGTCTGATAACAGAAGCAGCAGTGAAGTTGTTGTTGTAGGTGTTTTTTATTTTTCTTTTCTCTGTGAGGCTGCGTTATCTGAGTCCTTGAAATCTGGTGCTGGCAAGAACTGAAGTGGGGAGCTCGTACTCCTACTGTCTGCTTAGGGTTCTTCAAGGCTGAGAAAATGAAGTCTTAGAGATAACAAGTTAGACCACGGGTGTTTTAATTAAACAAAGTATAGTTGTGAGTTTATTTCCCTTACTTTGTATTAGATAGGTTATTTTCCTCTGTTAGGTTGTTAGTAAGGCCACCTTTCAGGCAAGTATGAATAAACTGTGGCTATAAAGTATCTTGCAGATAATTGTAGGTATATCTAATCATAGGTTTTATACTACAAATGAATTTGCATGGAAAAGTTGGCTTGTTCATTCCCTGTCATTGCTAAGGTAATCAATCATGGCCATTATGCCCATTTACTGCTCTACTTAGCCAAGAGCAAATGACTTGCAAGTAGTAACTACTTGATTCTCATGTTTATTTGTTTATTTTTTTAAACCAGTGATTAAAAAGTTCATGTCATATTAATTTGTAAAGTTTATTGCTCATTTTTTGTACCCAAAAGGTACTATGTACCACTCAATGAGTGGGAACTTTCAATTCCTGAATAAGCTCTACTTCTGAAAACCTAAAGTACTACCCGAAGTAGTATCATTTCTTTGTTTCCCCCTCACTGTTTTTTGTGTACTATGTGCAATTTTGGGAAGAATAGTGAACTTTGGGTCAAAACACCTCGGTCTTACTCTAAGTTTTACCTAGCTAACTTTGTACCTATGAAGTTATCACTTAAATTTTCTGGGCCTTAGTTTTCTAATCTGTGAAACAAAGAGTTAGACAAGATGATTCAAAATATTCCTTCTGGCTCTTAAATGCTACTCTACTGAGTATCAGTATAGTGGTTGAGTTGGGTTTGAGAGAATTGATAAAAACTTCTGTAAACTTTTTAAATATTCATGGGGCTATCAAATCATTTAATTTTATTCTATTCTTGACACTCTGGTAGATGTTCTACAAAGCAATCATTGAATAGGCCATGATATTCCTTGCCAGGTGCATTGATATGTGCTAAGCTTCATTAATCCATGAAATCAATTCCACAGGTTCAGATCATTTCACTCTTTGTACCCTGTGTATATTGCATAGAGCTCTCAACAACACAGCCACTACATAGGTATTCTCCAACTGACACTCATCACACATTTTTGAGTTTACATTATTTGCAAACTTAGGGAAATATATGTACAGTAATTGGTGAATGAGAAATGAGATCTTAATAGTTGTGTTGAAATAAGTGAGAAGAAGCTAAGCAAGCTGAAGAGGAGGTCAAGTGGCAGCTTAACAGAAGTAGGATGATGGGATCAAAGTAGAATATCTTCATGGAAAGGAGGCAGATATATAAATGATATGTTCTTAAGAACATATCTGAAGCAAACAGTGATACTGTATAACTAATGTTATACAAGCCTATGGGCCAGCCATTCAGGGCTCTGATAAGATAGAATGATTGGAATGATTTGGCCAGAGTTTTGATAGGAGAAAATCAGCAGCAGTGTTAAGATGGACTTACGATAAATGATGCTATGCAAATAATGGGAAGTCTGACTAGGAGGAAAATCAAAGAACTTATCCCTAGTCTAACATTTTATCTGTGGAGTTAGAACAGACTGGCCAGGCATGATACTAGTATAATCCTAACACTTTTGGAGGCTGAGGCAGGACAATCACTTGGGGCCAGGAGTTCGAAGACCAGCCTGGGCAAAATAGCAAGACACTGTCTCTACCAAAAAGAACAAATTAGATGAGTGTGATGGCATGTGCCTATAGTCCCAGCTACTCGAGAATCTGAGGCAGGAGGATCACTGAAGCCCAGGACTTTGATGTTGCAATGAACAATGATCAGACCACTGCACTGTAGCCCAGGTGACAGAGTGAGACCCTGTCTCAAAAAAAAAAGAGATTGAATTGGAGATCAGGATTTGACAAGGCTTATTTCTGTAGAGTATTTTCATAATTCAAATATTTACAAGTACTAAAGGGTTCACTAATTAAGTGTTGGTTGTTCCAAGTTATATTAGCCATTCTTTAGCTGCAAAAGACATTTTTTAAAACTTTCCATCTTAACATTATATGTTTTTTTAGTCACAGAATGAAAAAGTCAGATTACACTGGACTACATCCTTGCCATCTGGAGATGCCTTGTCTTCTGTGGGGACACATAGTTATTTCCAAAAGGTAAGCTAATGTCAGAGTTTACTGAAAGTATACCTTGTATTGTTCTTCACTGTTAATGGAACTATCATGTAGTACAAGTTTTTTCCCCTTTTCATAAATTTAAGTAATGAGGTTTGGTTTGTTTTTTTTTTTGTATTATATATTGTATTCCATATACATCCTCTAAAACAGTTGGAACTCTTATTCTGAGCATAATGTTCTTTCTTTTTTATATAAGGGATAAAGGGGAGATGGGTGGATGGAGAGTGGCTAGTCCAAAATAGTTAACTAGAAGCATAGGCAGTTATATTAAATCTCTTTCTTCTCTGGGGTTAAGTGGTATTATTTTGTGTTATTGGAAGCATTACATTCTTTATGAAATGATTTTAGAACATAATACATAATAGGTGCATGAAGTCAGCACTTGTTGCTGTGCTTGTTTCATATAGTGCTTTGTTTTCTCTTCCTTTATCTTGTGTTTGGAAGTTGGTACTGAATGCTCTGTTGTGCCTTTGTTCTGATTACTTGGTTTTTTCTTTGTCTGTCTCTGGTAGCCCTATAGTCGCTCTTCCTCCATGTCTTCCATTGATCTAGTCAGTGCCTCTGACGATGTTCACAGATTCAGCTCCCAGGTACTGTATAAATGTGTAGAGTGGACTTGAGCCTTTCTGTGCTATATTTCAGCCTGCTTTCCCCGTTCCTAGAAATCTTTTGGTTAGGCCACTGGTTTTAGTTTTGAATTTTAAATAGTAACAATAAACATTAGAAAGGCCTTCCTTATCTACTAAGTAGTTCCTTTATCAGGCTTGCATGTGCCCTTTACTTTGTATCCTCTATTATGAATAGTTTGAAATCTGTCATATAGGAGGTACTCCAGAAAGATTTTCAAACTGAATTAAAAAAATAGAAGATACTATTTTTATATAATGTCTGTTTCTTCAAACAGGATTCAACAATTTTGATGGCGTGATCTACAGGATATGTTATAGCATAAAAGCAGATTTTAATAGTCTCACTTTTAATCTAATTTAAAATATCCCTAATTATATTCAGCAAGGAAATAACTTTTAAAATAATATGTCTCAGCATATTGTATCATTATACTAAGCTCCGTTGAGCAGGTTGTGTTTTTCTTATGCAAATTACCCTTGGATATTATAAATTAATATTTCTGTTCCTGCACGAGATCTGAAAATTGGTTAGGTTTATTTAGCATAGCTAAGGGTTTAAAAATTTAAGATAGGAAGCTGAATGCTTGCAGTTTCTACCCTAAAAATAAAATCACATTACCATTGGAAAAACATTTTTTTACTGTCAGCATTAGTTTTAAAAATTTTTTCTTAATCTTCACATTTTTGCCATTCAACTTTGTATCTTTATGGTGATTGCATTTTATTGAATTACATTATGTTAGGTTAAGAACCTGAGCTCTCTAGTCAAAATGACTGAGTTTAAATCCTAGTTAGTTGTGTGATCTCTTGCGCAAGTTTTCTAACTGTTTTGTGCTTTACTTTTGTGATTTAACCAGAGCCTGGCACATAATAAATGCTCAATAAGTGTGAGCTTTTATTGCCATTTTATCAAAGCTATCCACATCATTGTTTTTTCCTTTGTGAAAGTATCCCAATAAAAGTTTTTAAAAGTCGTAGTTTTAAAAACTGCAATAGAGAAGAAAATTGACTTGAAATGTGTTTTTGTGACTTTGCAGCATTTTTTGTCCTTGAACATTATTAAGAAAAAAATTTAGCAATTCTTGATCAGAAATCACCCATAACCAAACATACTACATTTTTTCTTACCTTTTGCTCATCCATTTATGCATGCTTTTAAAAAAGAGACTTGTTATATTCACAATGAATCAGTGGCAAAACTGGATAATACTAGGAGATTTTGGTTTATTCTGCTAAGCTACACCTTGCATTAAAAGTAATAAAATCACAGACTAACTAAAACCCATCAATACTGGTCACCATTTTCCCTTGAAATGTAGGAATACACAGTCTATAAATGAAAGAAAATGTAATAGAGAGCAAGAAAAGAATGTAACCCAGTGATAAAAGAATGCCTAAGAATTACGGCTTTCAGAACTGAAACCTGGGCCCTAGCTGTAGAGCTATAGAACAACTGATAACTGTTATCACTGAGAAGCAGGTGGCTGTATTTTTACAAAACTTTTCTTTGTCTAACTTCTTATGTAACTCATGTATGTAGGCTGAGAGAAATTAATCTTACTGGTAAATTTTTTTCTACTATATGGAGCTTGTGATTGATCACATCCTATTTTAGATTTTGATTGTTATACTGTTTTATTTGCCAGAAGAGGTAAAAATGAAGAAAATAACATTGAGGTCTTCAACTATTTATTGTTCTCACTAAAGTATTTGCTGTCATTAGCAGACTTGGGCTCCGGCAATTAATTGATGATTAAACTGCACCTCATGTTCAGCAGCATCTTCAGAATAGATAACTAAGTCTGAGTTGATAAGGTCACGTGCTTCAAAGAATATTGCACTGCTTTATCTCCCATTATCGAAGGACCTACCAAATTAATTCATTATAATCACACATGAGAATATAGCATTGGATGTAGACCTAGAGATAATATTAGCTAAGAAACATAGTGTTATTTGGGAAAGTCTTCTAATTCAACACAATGTGAAATTCTACCAGTGACTAAATTGAGTTTGGTATATTTTATAGTTTTCATATCCTGAAGAGACTTATGTATTAAAAAAAATAAGCTCTAAGGTTATTCATTAACATTAGAAACACTTGTGTTATATTATGTTATTGTACATAATAATAACATATGTTGATAACTCCACATCATTCCTTAAAATATTTGAAGTAGCAAGATTCTTCATTTTGTAATATCTTGATAATTAATTTAAAAACTGAGTCAAAGTTTGTCATCACTTTTAATGATTTGCCAGAATATTACTTAAGCATACCACAATCAATTCATATTTACTCCATCTTTTAAAAGTCCAAACATATATACAGATAATCATATCTAGTTTCTTGATCATTTGTTTCAGTTCCCATATAGAAGCTTTCTAGGCCGGGAATGGTGGCTCATGCCTGTAATCCTAACACTCTGAGAGGCCAAGGTGAGAGGATCACCTAAGCTTAGGAGTTCGAGACCAGCCTGAGCAAGAGCCAGACCCCGTCTCTACTAAAAATAAAAATAAATTGGAAAAAATATTTGCTCTCTACACATCTGATAAAGGGCTGATAACCAGAATCTATCTAGAACTCAAAAAAATCAACAAGAAAAAATCAAACA